TATGGTTAATTTACTTGTGTTATGGTTAATTTATGTGTGTTACACACTGAAAAAAAAAAAAAAAAAAAAATTCAGGCAGCCACTAATATTTAGACTCCACACTGTGCAGGCTTGCTCCAAACAGGTCTGGGCAACAGCTGGAAATGTTGATCCATGATCCATGCCAACATCTCAAGCCTACACCTGGTTCTCACAGCACACCATCTCCAGCAGAACTGAACAGATGGAAAATTACAGAGCAAGAAGTGCAGCAGGTTAGGCCAACAAAGCTGCCACCCATGATGAAAACTGAGGGGTATTTAGAACAATTTTTTAACAGACTTTTAAGCAGGAATTTGGAAGCCACATTCAGGCATTATGCTGCTCAAAAGATTACAACATGGACCATGCTAAAGTCCGTGTGAGCTGGAACTTTTTGAAGTTCAGCTGAACATCTTTGAAGACAATTTAGCCTCAGACTCCAACAGTTTGGATCCCACCAGCCTTGTTCCTGTAATCCCTGCTCACTCTGGGCTGGRGCTCACTTGCCAGCACACGGCAAACCGCCAGCTGTGATGAGCACAAAACACCAAACCCATCAACAACCTGATGTCTGCTGGCTCTCAGCTCCCRTWATTCACAGGACTTTGGGTGGCCTGRCCRGGATTCAYRTTTTCTGCAGGATCCCCAGGAGGTATCGGATACTGGAGAGGACAAACACGATGCAGTGRGACACACTGCAGGAGTGACACATGGAAGGAGCACGGGCAGGGCAAATCTGCACACACAGGCAGAGTCCAGCTTCCAGCATGAGGACAGCCTGAAGCCCAAAATCAGCAACTGCTCCTGGGGAGCCAGGCTGGCTCTGCAGTGCTCCATCCTTCCCCAGCTCTTGCTCCAACACGCCAACCACATGTTTTGCAGAAACCCAGATTTCTATCTCACCAACAACTTCATTGTACGTTATTCTGGCAGGTGACCAAACCACCATTGATTCTTGTCAGCTCAGGAGAGCAAGATTTTATCCTCTGAGATCCCAAAGATCCACATCCTGCAGCAAAGCCTTCCCTTCCTCCTGGCACATTTCAGCTACTGCCTGAAATGCCTTTGCTTCTTTGCAATAACAGAGTACAAAGAGAAGTCCTGAGCAGAGGTCACCAACAGTGTGCTGCATCCTCTGCCCCACTCCCGCTTTAGAATAAAGGTCAGTAGGTCTCCTTCCACCCCTGCAAACGTATCCTGTCCTCTCTGAGAGCTCAGCCAGCTCCTCCAGCAGCTGCCCAGCAGCTCCTGGCACATCCCTTCAGAGCTGCAAACCCAGTTCTCAAACTGAGTCCCACCCCCACCGCTTTATCTGAACTGCTTTTGGTACTGCTTGGAGAGGCCTCAAAGCAGCCACAGAGCAGAAGAACAGCCCTGAGGGGCACCTGAAGCACTGCAGGAGCACAGGAACTCCAGCTCACCCAGCCCCTGGGGTGGCTCTGCCCTCCACCTGCAGCTCCTGGTGTGTCCCATCACACACAGCCCCACGCTGACCCTCACAGCTCCTGGCTCACCACAAGAGAGCAGGGAACACATTCTGTATTTCCAACACACCATCTTTCTCTCTCTCCCCCTCATCAAGATCCAGATCCAACCCCAAAACTAACAGCTGTTTCACATAATTTGAAGGTCTGGAAGGAGCAATAAAACTGTTTATCCTGAAAGGCCTTGAACCAGCAGCATCCCTCAGGCCACAGCAAAGTCACAAATCCCACAGCTGCCGTCAGCAGGGGCTGGAGCTCCCTCTGGGCAGACAAGAACAGCACTGGAACCCACTCCCAGCCTGTCTCAGCCACCCTTCCACTCCAAAAAACCACAGAGGACATGGATCAGAGGACATGGAGCAGGTCAGCTCCATTTTGATGGCATCTCTACCATGGTCAGGCAATCAGTGGCGAGGCATGGGGACAGAAAAGGGAGGCTGKATTTCCACATTTGAAGAAAAACACCATTTGCATTCCAGAGAACAGGGGGTCCAGCTGCCAGGGTTGACTCCCTCCTTCCTAATAAATTATTAGCCCTGACTGCACAGACCCCCTCTGATCCACAGCATTTCCTGATAGTGCCAGACCTGCTGTTTATCTCTCCCAGATTCCTGTTGGGCATCAGCAAACAGTTAAAACTTTTCCAAGTCCTTGAAGTTTCACTAAACACTACTTTCTTGAGTATGAAGCATAATTAAAGACCTTTTAAAAGCAASGTTTGGAAAGGAAGATGCTTAGCACAAGAAGGGCTTGTTCAGCCCAAAAGACACAGGAAGCTGCTCACTAAAACCAGCATYGGGTTTTGACACCCCAAAAGGGAACGGGGCATTGGTTTTAACAAACAACTGCAGCTCCCAGCTCACAGGAACAGTCTGTTTATGCCCAATTCAGGCCAAAATCAAGTTTCTGAAAACCCCGACACAGCTACAAAACAGAACTTTTGTTTTTGGCTGGTTGCCTTGGAGACACAGAGTGATCTCTTGGGAAGAAACCAAGGAATGCATCCTAATACGAGCTCCTTCCTTTTCAGGCATCAACACTCAGCCTTATTACCCAGAGTAAAAGCCACAAACATCCTCTAGGTCAAGAGTAAACAGAAATCTTTCCATTTGTCCACCCTCAGCATCTTCTAGACCCTGGCTACAAAGTCAAACTCTGTGCCTGACTGAACAGGAAGGGAACTGAAAGAAAAACRGATATTTCTCCCACACCACATTTCATTTCACCCAGAAACTTGYGTCTTTACTATTTTCCTTCAGCTGAATCTTATTTTCTAAAGGGTCACGATTTGTTTCAGCTTCCTGAGTTCTGCAAATGTAACAGGCAGTTTCTCCTTTGTGTTTTTATATTTCTCTTTTCAGAAACCAAACGTTTACACAAGTTCTCATGCAGCATGACCCCACATACAGTTCTTAGGGAGCAGCTGTGTGTGCACCTTGCAATGTTTAGCACCTCATCTGCACAGCAGGGCAGTTAATGCTGTTAAGCTGATAAGAACAGGGGCACAGAAGCTCCATGACCTGCCCAATGTCAAACAAATCCAACACTGACAAACACAACAGCAGTTAACCAGCATCACACAGTATTTTAGGGTGGGAAGGGTCTTCTGCAAGTCTCTAGCCCAAACTTCTGCCAGTTGCTCAAAGCTTTCCACAGCTTTTAGAAAGCTCCAAGGCTGGACATGCCACAACTTCTCTGGGTTTGACCAACCAAGAAACAACTCAGTCACTGCACTGGCCTCACCCTCATCTCCCTCCCACCTTTTTGTACTGCTAAGGACACCTTCCACTGTGCACCATTTAACTGATTTTACTTGAGGCTTGTTCTTTGTGCCCCAACAGCATCCCCTGCTCAGAAAAATCAGCTCCTCAGCTCCATTAGGAGTGGGCCTTACCCAAGAGTGGCCATTCCACAAAACTTYCTCTGTATCCTCTGCTCCATCCTAAAAGCACCCAGAACTGTAACAYGCTGTATTAGTATTTTCACCACTTATACCACACACCCAATTTTGGGGTAAATCCAATTAAGAACCCAAACTGAACCTGAGCAGAGCCAAAACAGCTGCAATGAGTGCAAGCCAGCAGGTGTTTRAGCAGCAGGACAACTCCAGTCTGACCAAGCATTTCCCTGTAGCAGAACAAGGAAAAACTTCAGGAGCACTGAGTAAGAATTACCACTTAGCTCATTTGCTTGTTCTGGATCTTGAGGTACTCGTGCTCCAGACCTGCTCCCTGCATTACTTACCATCAAATTACTGCAGGCTGTGTGTGTTTAGGGAGGAATTTGACAGCACTAAGCCAGGGGAGCAGCACTCCCTGCCTCCCCTCAAATGAGATGCACCCTGCTCAAAGGATTTCCTCAAATTATAATGCTCAGCGCCTCAGGCACCCGTGTGGATTTAGTCCAGTTATCTACTCGGATTGAGGTAACGGAAATGTCCAACAGCAATTCCCACAGTGAAATGTGACATCACTGCCCTAAAGATAGGGATCTGCCACCTCAGTGTGCTGCTTTCAGAGCCCAACAACTCACATCCACTCCTCTTATCACACCCAGACCCATTTCACCAAGCCCTATAAAGATTAATTCTCAATTTAGGGCTCACAAAGATTGACACTACCCCCCAAGTGTGAGAAAATCTGGCATTCGCTCACTCCAGARGCATTTGGAGCAATCAGCATCTCTTGGATCTTCAGAGCTGTAGCTGCACATCCAGAGGAGCAGGTGGTATAATCCTATCAAGGGGAGTTAAGTTCTTGCTGATCTCTTTCTGCCTAATCGAGACCTAATTCTTGAGTCTCTATCAATAGATCACTAATGCGGGGAAGATGCCAATGCCACGCTGCCCAAGTGACCACGGGCAGCCCAACATGTCCAACCCCTTGGACACTGTGAGCAGAGCGGGAGGACAAGCCTACAGCTGCTCAAACCACGCAGCTCCCCCTCATCTCCTAAATTCCTGGAATACTTTACTTTCCATTATCCCCAAGAGGGGATGGGGCGGGAGAGGCCCTGCAGTTGACACAGGGCATATCCCACCCTCAGCAGCTTTGTGGGACAGCACCCAGTGCCCCCTCCCTGAGGGCAAATTCCATTAACACCCCAAATCCCATCTCCCAGCTGCGGTCCTCATGTTCCCTTTCAAGTTCCAGGAGACAGTAAAAGCAAGACACGGGGCTTGCAAAGAGCTGCAAACTCTCCTAATACTGGGTACCAGGAGAAATACTAATCCCTGCCTCCTTCCCCATCATTCTGAAATGTCCTTTGGATCCGTGTGGTGGAGTTCCACTTTCCCTCTCCCATTTTCCACCAGTCCCAGTTCATTTCTGAGTCCCTTTTCCTCCAGCTTCAGCCAGCTCTGAGGGCAGAGCCCTGGCTCCCACAAGGACCCAACACACCACCCATGTTTCCACCTGGCGCCTCATGGAAAACCAAGCCCAAAGCAGCCCCAGGYCACTTCCAGCCTGGCTGCTGAGCTCAGAGGTGCCCAGTTACCTTCTTGCGGCGYGAGCCTGTCTTGCTCATGCAGGACCTCTCCAGGGACAGGTACCCCCCAATCACTTCGATTTCATTCACCGTGGGGTAGCGTTTTTTATGGGATATCGCCACTTGGGGTCCATCAGCGTTCTCCACGGCTTTGCCTCTTCCTTTGCTCTCCTCCTCCTCCTCCTCTTCCTCCCGCTGYGGCCTTCCACTGGCATCGGTGAGAGCCTGCAGCCCCGGGGGCACAGGCTTCCTTTTGGGCACGACAGTGAAGGTGCTGCCACCCCGCTGCTGGGGGGCCGTGTGTGGTCTGTAGAGGGGCACGGAGGAAAACTCCATCTCCAGGTCAGGGCCAGCTCCTCCAGGCTGATCGGCCAAGCTCCCCGTCCTCGCGGCCGGGCCAGCCTTGGGAGGAAGCTCCCCACCATCCGGCTCCACAATGTCATCGATGTAAGTCACAGGTACCAGCGGATCCACAGGCGCTGGTGGGGAAGTGATGGGCTCTTCCTGCTCCGGGGCGGAAGCCCTCGGGACCTCCTTGGGTGCCTTCTCCTCCGAGGGCGGTGGCGCTGGCCCTGGCCGGGCAATCTGGGCCGGTGGCTGAGTCGGGCCACCCTCCCGGCGGGGCACGAAGACGAAGGAATTGCGTGAATTCAGGCGCAGCTTGGCCAGAGCCTGTGCCTGCAGGTCGTGGGCTGGGATGGCCGCCAAGTTGGGCTTGGGGGCCGGGTGAATTTCGAAGGAGCCCCCGGCCCGGGGGGCTGAGGCGGAGAGCGGCCGAGCGGCGCCGGTGGCACTGGGGGCCGGACTGGCACTGGGCAGGGGGGACACGGCCGCTTCGGCCTCCTCCRGCTTTGGCCTCCTGGCGTTGGCTCTGGCATGGGAAGGGCTGATGGATGGCACTGGTTGCCCCTTGGCCGTCACGGGGCGGCCGGCGGGGACAGCACCGGGCTCGGGGATGCGGGTGCTGGGGAGCTGCCCCCGGGGAGTGACCGTGAAGGAGTTGGAGCTGATCTTGTGGAGGAAGCAGTTGGCCTGGGGGGCAGCAGCCTTGGGGACAGCTGGGACCGCCTGAGGGGCTGCAGCCCGGAGGGGAGCCGGGGTCGGCTGGGGGGCTGCGGGCTCGGGGGTGAAAGCCCGGGGGGCAGGAGGGGTGGGCTGGGGAGGAGCGGGCTCGGGGGTGAAAACATGGGGGGGAGCGGGGGTGGGCTGGGGGGTTACAGCCCGGGGAGGTGGTGCGGGCTGGGGAGTGAGAGCCCGCGGAGGTGCCGTGGGCTGGGGGGTGACAGCCCGAGGGGAAACCGTGGGCGGGGGTGTGACAACCCGCGGGGGGGCCGTGGGCGGAGGGGTGACAGCCCGCGGGGAAGCCGGCTGCGGGRTCGCGGGCTGGGGGGCCACCGGCACCGCTGGGGGGGTGGCAGCCCGGGGAGGGGCCGGCAGCGGCGGGGGGGTGGCCGGGACCGCCGGCGGAGATGCCGGTGCCGCCTTTGGCGCCGGGGTCCGGGGAAAGCCGGGTCCCTTCTGGAGGGGCGCGGGGGCGCGGGGGGAGCCGGGCCCCGCGGGCGGAGCGGGCGGCGCAGCCCGGGCAGCGGCCGGTCCCACCTGCGGAGGAGCCGCGGCCCCGCCGGTCCCGGTCAGCGCGTCCCCAACGCGGCGACGGCGGCCGCGGGGCCGCTGCCCGAACTTCTCCAGAAGGCGGCTGACGGTGCCCGGCTCGGCCGCCTCGGGCGGCTCCGGTGGCTCCCCCGTCTCGTAGATGACGACCTGGTCGGCGCGGATCTCGGCGAGCGCGGCGCCGCGCCGGGCCAGCAGCTCCCTCAGCGGGTCGGGGCCGGCCGGGTCCCGGCGGCGGGCGGGCGGCGCGTCTCCCGCGGCGAAGCAGGCGGCGGGGTCGGCGCGGGACTCGATGATGAGAATGTTTTCGGCGCGGATGGTGCGGATGCCGGGCACGGCGCTGTACAGCTCTAGCAGCTGCTGCAGCGGCCGCGCCGCGCCGCCGGGCCCGGGCCGCCCCTGCCGCAGCCGGCGCCGCTCGCTCTCCAGCCGCATGAAGGGGTTCTCGCGGAGCGGGCCCAGGCTCTCCGCCACCACCAGCCGCTCCCCGGCCGGGGGCTCGGGCTCGCCGCCCGCCCC